AAAACAAGGCCGGCCCGCGGGGAGGCAGGGGGCCCCTGGGGCTGGCAGGGGAGGCCTCCAACAGTCTCCGAGCTCCCCACGGCTCCCCGGGACAGCGGGCTTGCTGCGAGCAGCCCGAGCCCATGGGCAGCTGCCTCCCTGGCCCTGGCGGCGACAGTGGGGACCGAGTTGGGGTGCCTGCCCAGGGGCAATGTCAACGGCAGGTACTGCGGGGACCCTGGGGACAGCCAGGCCCCCTCCCACGCAGGCCGGGCTCTCACCGTCGATTAAGGCCTGAGTCTGCTCGTCATAGGGCGGCATCTTGTCCTCCTCTGCTGGGTGGGTCTGCGGGGGCGCCAGAGGGGGCGGGGCCTCCTGCGGAGGGGTGGGGTCAGCACCAGGCCCCGCCCTTGGCCCCGCCCCCTTCCCCACAGACAGGCACCTTGGGCGGCTCCCCCGGGACCTCGGAGTCCTCTTCCTCTTCTTCCTCCTCCTCCGCCTCCTCCTCTTCCTCCTCCTCCTCGTCTTCCTCTGCGGGCGGCGCGGGTGCCTGCGGCTGCTCCTCCGAGGGCTCCTTCTGGTCAGAGGCCGGAGCGGGCGGGTCGGTGGGCAGCGCCTGGTGGGGAGCCGGGCAGTCGGTACAGTGGCCCCGGGCTCAGGGCGAGCTCTGGGCCTCTCGCCACCACCCAAGGGGCAGGGCCTCAGTGTCCCCTTCCCCCCCACCGGAAGTCCGGGTGGTGGAGCTCAGTGTCCCCACCCATCCGAGGACTGGAAGGCTGAGGTTGGGCGACCCCAGGGACGGCACAAGGGGCCCCAGCTGGGCAGGGGGGCCGGGTGCCACAGGCGGAGGCAGGCCCGTCCCCTCCTCAGCCCCCACCCCGCTGACCTCAGACCGGTACTTGTCCCGGATGCTCGCCCAGACGCGGTCGTAGAAGGAGGCGGCCCCGGTCTGCCCGTCGCCGAGGAGGGCCTGTAGGTCGGGATGGCGTCAGGATGGGGCCCCCAGGGGCCCCCCAGTCCCAGGCACTTGGCAAAGGCTGCTGCGCCTGCGGGCGGTGCCAGGCACGGGCGTGCTGGCACTGAGCACGAGCTGCGCTGGGGCCGGGAGCCCGGAGCTCGGCCTGTGGCTGGGG